TTTGGTAGGTTGCTAGCCCATAGGAATGTATTCCTATGCCATTAACTTATTGTTTCTGGCTAACTCTGAATGATTGATTTACTAAGTTAGAAATTTCATTTGAATGTTCATTTAAATGCTTGTACCATAGATTTTGATTTGGCCTCAAGATGTGTGGGGTCAAACAACCAGAGTCCTGTAATTAAATCCCAAGGGATGTGTGTGCTGGCCTGTTCATTTTGTTGGTTGTTTTTATTACTTGTTGGCTGAGAAAAATACACCCTTGAGCAGTTTTCATTAGAATGTTTGATCATAGGAATTATATCTTTGGCACATTGTTTTGTTTTTCTGTTTCAGTGAACAATTTGGAATTTTTTTTTATAGAATGCCCTCCCCAGGGATTCCTACTGTCTCTTCTTTTTAAGTGCATCAGTCTGTCATCTTGTTAAGAAGCCATATCTCAGGGAAACTGAACAATCTTTCTTACCCCTGTTGGGAATGAAGTCCTTTTGTTCTGGACACTTTTGTAGTTTTTCTTATTTAATTTCTGTTGATTTCTAACGCATATTCACTATTGTCCTTTTCAGTGTTTTCTTTCTGGATTGTTTTTCTCTTATTCATTTCCATTTTTAAAACAACTATAACGGTGGAATAGAACAATGGAAAAATAAACCATATATGATATGAAAACTGAATTACAGTATATTGAATTTGGTCAGGATTATTCTCAGTCACATGAGTATAAGATTGCTGCCTTAGTATATTGTATGCTTAAAAATTTAAAATAATACTTCTGCTCTTCTGCACAGAAAAATCTCACTCATTTTGTTTGTTGGTGCTTTGGGGTATAGCCACCATAGCACAACAGTAATAGCTGCATAAGATCTAGATGCATATTCCACTTTTATTTCAAATTTTGCACTTTTATATCAACTATAAAAATTTATAGTAGACCTGGTCTAGAGGGGCGGGGTATAAATCAAATTAAAGTAAAGTAAAGTTATAAAAATTTAAATTTCCAGTGGAAGACATCATAAAGTAATATGAGTACAGTCAACCCTCGATTTACTTAATCTGTTCCGGAACAGCATTTGTAAGTTGAAAAGTTCGTAAGTCGATTTCCCATTTCCCATAGGAATGCATTGAAACCCCGTTAATCCATTCTGGCCGAATAAAAAAATACAATAAATAAATAAAAAGCACCAAACACTGCAAGCCTGCAAAAACCCCCACCAGCCCAATCCCACCCTGAAAAAGAAAAAAATGTTAAAGAGAAGAAGCCGCGGGGCGGGAGAGAAAGGCGATCGGCACCTTCAGAGCTCTCAAAGGGTTTCCTCCGATGTCAGATGGAAAGCCCTTTGAGAGCTCCTAAGGCAAAAAGTCAGGGAGAAAGGACTGGAAATTCAAATTTCCCACTCTTTCTCCCTGCCTTTTTGCCTTTGGAGCTCTCAAAGGGCTTCTTCCCGTGTCGGGTGGAAAGCCCTTTGAGAGCTCCGAAGGCGACAAAGGCTCCGTTGGCAAAAAATGGCATTGACTTGCGAATGGAGCCTCAGCCTCGTTCGTAGGTCGAGCTCCGTTCGCAAGTCGATGCCAGTTTTTATAAATGGAGCCGTTCGTAAATCGAAAAGTTCATATGTGGGGCCATTTGTAAGTCGAGGGTTGGCTATAGTTATATTACCATAACAATACTGCAGCATGTTGTGTCCATCTTGTGTAAATTTGTTTCCCTTGATGTTGATTAAATGAATCAGCTCCCCTTTTTGTTTTTCATTCATTAGAAATATGGCTAGATTCGTACATTACCAGCTGTGATTGTTACTCATTTGCAGACGATGTCAGGGCTACTGAATCTGTGACAGGGATGCACTGGAGAGAAACCTTCCACAGATCTAATTTTCATGATAAACTTTACCTGCTGAAATTCCTTTTTCAATATAAGTATTAGATGCAGAAGTCCCATCTTCTTTTTCCACTCTGCTTTCAGTGATCTTTGACAAATCCAGTCATATAAGTAGGTCCAGCAACATAGTTGCTTCTCATAGCAGAGTTTTAGAAGATCTGAAAGTTGTCATTCTGGAAAAGAAAACAATTACAGGACAAGAACCCAGAGAGAGACAATTGAGATAAAATATATACATATGCTTAAAATCCGTCTCAATGGATTCAATATAAGTTTAGGTTTCTTAGGTTATCATAAAATGTGAAATATTATGTTGTATCTGCTGTAATTGGTAACATCATTACTGTGTTGTTCCTGTTTGTTATCTATATAACCTGAAATTAATTTAGCAACCAATCATTGTGATTGTTTACTAAACAATACTTCCTGGGAGGGGAACTGAACATATGTCTTAAAGATTATTGCCAGGTATGAAGTGCCATACTGTCAGCAACATGTAATCAGAAAAGAAACAGTGTCTTTGTTTTGGGACCATATATAAATGTATAAACGTTTGCCATGTGATCCCACTCTTATTGTCTCAGGAAGTGGGCTTGCCCATAAAAGCTCACATTAAAATAGCAGTTAGTCTTTAAAGAAGCCGCAATGTTTTTATCTTCTTTATTTTTATATATTTATTTTTATTCAATTTTTGTCTCATAGCAGAATCACCCGCAATACTGCTGTTAGTTTATGGGGGTATGGTTTCTTTTTAATAGAGACCTAGCCTCTCCTGACTCCTGGACTAGAGCAGTGATTCCTCATAGTTGGAGTCGCATTGTTCTCCATCTACAGCACTCAAAAGCCCTAGACATGATGGTAGGAGCTTCTGGGAATTGTAATCCAAGAGCATCTGGGCCCCCAATTTGGGAACTACTAGGCTAGAGTCAGTGTGGATTCCCAGTGTGGTATAGTGGGTAGAGTGATGGACTAGGACTCTGGATTACAGAGTTCATATCCCTAATTGGCCATGAAAACTCATTGAGGGAGTGGAACTGGTAAAAACATTCCTTAAATAGTAGTTGTTGTGGGTTTTTCGGGCTCTTTGGCCATGTTCTGAAGGTTGTTCTTTCTAATGTTTCGCCAGTCTCTGTGGCCGGCATCTTCAGAGGACAGCAAACTGTGCTCTGGTGACCACAGATATTCCTTAAATATCTCACCTTGAAAACTCTATTAGGGTCGCTATAATTTGGTTCCAACCTGACAGCACTATAGTTTGGACTTTATTTGTTTATGCCATGTTGAAACCCTCTATTTCACGAGAAAAGCAAGACACCTTTTCTCTAATGGATGTGTTGATTATCATTACTTCCCATTTCTTACTTGGAGGAATGGGAAATATTTTTATAAACCACAGAAATTACTTTTATAGTGGTACACGTAGTCTGATGACAATTCATCTTCAGTTAATTGCTCCCTAGTCATCGTTCAGCTTGTTTAACTCAAGGGGATTGAGTTGTCTTGGAGATGCTGAATACTAAAATCATCCTTGGCTACTAATGTTTTGATTTGTTTATACTATGTGAAATTTCAGACTTGAATACCAGGAGTATTCCCATACAACAGGCTACAATCTTAAATAGTAAAAAAATAAGCCTCACTGAATATAGTGAGATGCCTGGGAGAAGGTGTACAGGTCAGACTTAGATTTAAGATAAAATAAATTTAAATATCTGCTCAATCTTGAAGTTTAGTGGTTCATCCTTCATCCACATATTTAAACTGCTTTCTCCAGTCTTCCCTGTTGAAAAAAAAGTTAAAGCTGCTAGTACAGGTCTGCTATAAGACTCAGCTGTTTTTGTTTTGTCTAAGTTTTTGTGGATTGCAGGCCACTTCATCAGATGCCTTTATGAAGTCCACAGCAGCTAAGATCAAATAAAAGCTTTTGGTTTTTTTTAGCAAAAACAATGAAGACTTTTTAGCAGCTTAACAGCTAACATGATTCTCTTCTTGAATTTTTGTGTTAATCCATAAACGTAGTAGTCAGTATTTATTTATTTGTGTGTGTCTGAAAACTGCTGTGGGGTGTGAATAAAAGAAACCCAAGATCATTTGAATTCACATGTGATTCATATTAATTACATCTTAGACCTTTGCTATAAAAGTTTGCAAATTTTTTAGAAACACTGTTATATTTCAGTTCACTTGAGAAATAATTTCATTTTCCAGGTTAAGACTATAAAAAGCCTATTGTTCACTGGTAATAAAAATGTGACAGAGTTTTTCATTAGTGATGGGTAGAAATGCTAATATATTGGATAGTGTTTGCAACTTGAAAATCGGAACCAGAGTTGGATGTGAGTTGTTGTTGCTTAGTCGTTAAGTCATGTCTGACTCTTCGTGACCCCAGATGTGTGTACAGTACCTTTAATAGCCTATTTCCTGAGAAGTAGCATGCTTATCTGTATCAGCATGCTGAGGAAAGAAAACAAAACAAACAAACAAACAAAAACATCTATTAGCACTTTAAACACTAACAATTTTAATTCAGCTTGATTTTTTGTGCATCAGTGTCCACTTCCTCAGACACTGGGGTACAAATACAAGGCTGGTATGTTTATACATATCTCGGTGACCAGGTGAGGATACAGATAACAGGCAAAGAGACAATTATGGAGTGAAATAATGGACCTATCAAGCTTACAATTATCAGGTCTTTGCCAGGGCAATAGCTTTAGGGCAGGTGGAATTGGCTGCCATGGGAATGCTAGGAAATGTTTCCGAGACAGGGGTCACAGTTTGTCAAGGGAAAAAACTGTTTAATATCTATGAGATATTAGAGAAAGCTTTATTATTATTAATATAGAGATTGTTCCAAGAAGATTTGATTTTTGTTGAGGCCCTTAGAGGTTTACTGGAACCTGTTTGTGTAGCTAATTTCTGTTGCCGCCTCTAGAGTATTTTTTTCTAATTTCTTTTTTCCCTCCTGTAGCCACTTCTAATAGCCTAGGTATATTTCCTTGGAAGTCAGTATTGTATATTTTTGTTCACTTACACCTGAGTAAGAGTTGCTTTCTTGGTTATCTGAAAGCTTAAAGCTGACCTGGCTGAAAGACATGTGAAAAATCTTTGCGTTTTGAAGCAGGGCTTCTGGAAAGATATTCTCTCACAGTCAAAGTGAGCCAGAAATGGAAACAGAGGAAGATCTGAGAAGAAAACTTCTTCAAGTCAGGAAAGAACTACTGGATATAACTGTTCAACACAATGCAGAGGTAAGAACGTCATTTGCATGCTTTTATTTTATTTTATGACTTGGCATTAGCAGTATTGTCCCATGTCCTTTCTACTCCAGATCCACCATGAGAAAGATAAAGATATACTGAAGATCCAGTGCTGTCTTTTTTTTAAAACAAAGTGGTACATGTTTAATTAAGGGCCTTCGAACAGAATTTTAAGTCCACATATGGCAGGCAAGCTGTTTAATTCTCCTTAAATTTGGAAAAGGTTGAATCTCAATCCACCACCATGCTGGTGCTGCAGCACCAGAGTAACAGAACTTCCTCTTCTTTCCTTTCTCGTGGCTCTCAATGCTGCCGGAAAACAGGCTCATGAAGAATGTTCAGCACTTTAGAGCTGTTGTGGTGTTTGGTGGTGGGAGAGCAGTGGGGAGGGGGAAATTGCGCCTTCTTGATTCTGCCGGATAATCAAGAAGTAAAAATAAAAAGAGTTGCAAAAATTAAGAATTGTTAACATATATGGTAACAAATTTCTTTTGGGGGCTTTGTGGTAAATGACACAATTAATGGTAATTAATCAGTCTATCAATTTTTTCTTTCTTTTTTTTCTTTTTGGCCTGCAAGGTTGGAGAACATTATGCATCTTGTTTAGTTTTTTGTTGACAACTTAGGTCGGACATGTATGGGTTATGAGACTTACTGTGTAAGCACCTGCTAGTTGTGTGTTTATGAGGCACTTGGGCCTCATATAAGTTTGAGAGGAGACTGAGAAAAATTAATGTCAAATAATTTTCACACATGTCTACTGAAGAGAAGTTCCTCATAGCTGTTGATGTATCTTCTACTTTGGTTGAGGCCGGTGGGGGACATGTAGCCCTACAGGTGTTCCTTCAACTCTCACGAGTCCATGCCAACACACCAAAACTATAGTTTGATTATCCAATTGCTTTTATAGGTATCAAACTATGAGTGCCGGTTTGTCAAGCTTCGAGCAGAATTTGAAAGAAGTGAGGCTGTGCGACAAAGTCTGGAGTATGAACTTGCTGTTGCGAGGAAAGAAGTTGCTAATGAACGGTTTTCAGCAGAGGACAAGTTAGGTGAAGCAAAGAAACAAATTGAACAGTTTGAAGGTAAGTTTCAGAGCCCCTGCAAAACAATGAATCATAGTGGAACACTGCGTTTACACTAGATGTGGATACAATACCTTGGTCTCAGTTGCTTTTATTTTTCCTCCTGGTTTCATCCTTCACCCTCTACATATATTCATAGAATCACAGAACAGTGAAGTTGGAAGGGGCCTACAAGGTCATGAAGTCCAATTCCCTGTTCAATGCAGGAATACGTTTCTTTTATGCCCCCAGTGTTGGAGCACTCACCACCTCTCAAGGTTCCGCTGTCGTAGTGCTCTAACAGATAGGAGGTTTTTCCTGCTATTCAATCAAAATCTGCCTTTACTACATAAATAAGCTTAAAGGAAGTATTGTAACATCTAGAGGCATCAAATTTTAACTCGTGAAACTGCAGAGTGGCCTTTTAGGCCAGACGGGCGGGGTATAAATCAAAGAAATAAATATAAATAAATATACATTTTAAACAAATGAAAGAGGTTGCAACCATAGTGCCTCTTGTCCAGTTCTCCTGCAAATCTGCTTGCCCGAAAGCCTTTCTCAGCAAAACTCAAATTCAACATGACATCACATCTCATCTCACATGGTATTTCATCCTGGGAAACAGGGTTGGGGTTGCATCCCCGAAAAGGATGTTGGACTACAATTCCCATTATCCCTTATTATCTCTGCTAGCTCAAGGTGCTGGAAATTGCCATCCAACAACATCTGAAAGACAACATCTTGCCCATCTTGTCTTTTGTGTTGCTTATCTTTGTTTATATTTTCTAGCTCAAATACTGTTGCTGTAACTTAAGGCTGGTGACATCAGTAACAGTGATTTTTCAGAAGCTAAAATATTTCTGCCTTCTCTTTTAAAGCTGCTGTGGCTGTCAGTTAATCCCTTTCATTGTCAGGAACCTGCAGAAGCCATAGGACAGAAGACGGATGTCTTTAATCACTGAAACTCGTTGCCACCAGGATGACAGTACCACCACCAGCTGTTTTTGCAAATTGAAGACATCCTCTTCCTGTCCTATGGCTCTAACACATTCCCAATGATGAAAGGAATTACCTGGGAGCCTCAGGATCTTTGAGAAAGAAGTGAGAAATGTATAATTTCTGAAAAATCACTGTTATGGCAGCCTCTCTGTTTATTATTGTTTATCTTATTTACAATTCTAGGTGTTTTAATTTTTAAAGTTACATAAAAGAAAACTAAATAAAGAAACAGCATAATGAACAAGAAATACAAAAAAGTTATATAGTTAACAAAATAACATAAATCCATTTGAACAATACAGTAAAAGCCTTGTGGCGCAGTGGTTTAACCGCTGTACTGCAGCCCAAACTGTGCTCACGACCTGGGTTTCAATCCCAGGTAGCCGGCTCAAGGTTGACTCAGCCTTCTATCCTTCCGAGGTCGGTAAAATGAGTACCCTGCTCGCTGGGGGGGAGCAATGTGTAGCCTGCATAATTAACTTGTAAACCGCCCAGAGAGTACTTGAAGCGCTATGGGGCGGTATATAAGCAGCATGCTTTGCTTTGCTTTAAAACATATTGTGCGCCTATCCCACCAGGACCATTTGGAGATATAATCACACACACCCATATTAATTCCCCTACCGCTTCCAGAACTGCATTGATTCATTCAAAGGTTCACAACCTTTCCCCTTCATTAATACATAGTCAATAAGCACAGATGTTCGTAAAATATTATTTAACAAGCCTTTCTTAACTTCAAGATTACACATCAGCATTAATAACTGTAGTCCAAATTTCTTTATATAACGTATCTAGTTAGAAATCATATTTTTCTTTCCAATTTCTTGCTGCTATTAACAGCCAAAATTTCAGTATCTTTTTGCATTCGCACCGCCTATGAAAATAAGTACTAACTTTTGACAACCTCTCCAACACATCTTAGACTCAAATTACATGATTACACTTTTGCCAGTAAAAAAATCAACAATACGATTCTGGCCATTTTTAATTATGAGCTTAAAGTGCACTTTGCCTTTATATTTCATAAGCTACATAAACACTAATATTTAAAATCAGATATGACCTGATCTGCCTTTTTGTCATGCACACTCATATTCTCTCTTACTTGCTTGCTCCCTTTCTCTCTACTTCTCTTTCTCTCTCACACAGAAAATACAACTCTTTTAAAGCTAACTTGTAATATTGGACATATTTTTTTCATGTGGAAACAGACAAGCCAAAAGCCTTGGGCTTTCTGTATCTATTGTATTGGAATGGCTGTTACAACATTAAGACAAAAATATCAGCAATATCTAAAATCAAGGCCATGGTCTCCTGAGGGCCTTGCTTCTCTGGTTTTTGCTAGGTGTGGCTGAATTAATGTTTTTTTCTCCTGTATTGCTCAGTTCTTTTTCTGTTTGAATACTTGGAGTTGATGCTGTAATGCCTACTTTGTCAAACCATGCTTCCCCAAAAATAAGACAGGGTCTTATCTTAATTTTTGCTCCAGAAAACACATTAGGGCTTATTTTCAGGGGATGTTTTATTTTTTTCATGTACAGCAGCCTACATTTATTCAAATACAGTCATGCCACCTTCTGGTTGCTGCACAATGGTGGAGAGAGGGGTTTCACTTGATTGGGGCTTATTTTCAGGGTAGAGCTTATATTACGATCAACATGAAAAATCATACTAGTGCTTATTTTCAGGTTAGGTCTTATTTGGGGGGAAATAGGGGTTTCTCTAAAGCAGAGGTTCTTAAGCTTTTTAGTGGTTGGCACCCCATGGAATCTCAAAATACATTATCCCACAACCTTGAAAAATATGTTCCAATGTATTTATTAGAAAATTACATTTCTTTTTCGTGGCCTCTGTGAATGCACACATATGGGTATTGTCTGCGTCTGCGCTGACTCTCTCGGAAGATTCTAGAGCTAAAAGTAACAGTTTTATGGTGTGATCCTCCATGAGGTATATGCTCCTCCCATCCACCATCTTCCCCAGTTCCTTTTTTCCTCCGAGCTGAATGGTTCTCAGGAAAGATTGAGCGCTTTGCTTTTTGCCTTCTGGCTATTTTTCTAGGCTCCTTTGAGCTTTTTGTTTGCTTATTTTTACTTTAATTGCCTATTTAGTGATCCTCCACATCTTTTGTTTGCCTAATCGCCTTCCCACGGTTTTTATTCCCTTTTTTCCCCTTCCCCTTCCCCCCCACTAGTCTTTTGCTTATGGCCTCACCGTCTCCTTTCAAACGATGTACTACTTGTGCAAATAAAATCGCACTTTCCGACGGTCATAGCCAGTGCCTTTTTTGCCTGGGTAAGGAACATCCGACCCATTCGTGCCCCACTTGTAAAAACCTAGCCAAGCCGGTACTTAAGCAGAGGTTCCAAAGACTTCGGTCTTACCTTTGGCAAATGGCCATGAATCCTCCTGCTGCTTCTTCGGAGGCTGCTAGATCTCCTGCTCTCTCAGACGATAGGTTCCAGCGGGCCAGTCTACCTCTGACTCTACGTCTGTGCTACCAGCTAAGGACACTGTTGAGAAAGCAAAGACGTCTGGTAAGTACAAATTGCCCTCTTCGCAAAGATCTTGAGCACACGACCCAGGCCCCCCCAAAAAACCCTAAGCCTGCTCCTAAGAAGCTCAGGAAGGACAGACTTCCCCGCATGGAGCCTCCTCAGCCTTCCCTATCCTCCCCTGTCCTCGAGGAATCATCCAGAGAGGCCCCTGATTTAGCCTCGGATGTAGAAGACATCCATGATGTTGCGGGCCCCCCATAATACCACTTCAAACTCTGAGCATTGGCTTCATTGGGGCTGCGCCACAGTCTAGCCCGGCCTCAGCCCATTCCAACCCTGACTCAGGGCGGGCAGCTGAAAGCTCGGTATCCGATCCGGAGGTTCCCACTTGTCCTCCATGGAAGAGAACGGAAAAATGAAAGCACCTCTCTCCACCGAGGTCTGTGGCATCACAAGGCGATTTCTGCGCCTTCCCCATGGTACCGTATCCGTGTTTTGACCCCTACATCTGGCAAACCCTGTATGAAAGGTACTAGTCTGAACAGGCTAAATGGCCCCAAACAAAGCCGGACCTCTCCCAGGCCGCCCCTTTTATGGACTTGAACCGCCTCCGTGCGTCCACTTCTGCCCCAGCAGTCTCGGCTCCATCTGCACGCCTTTCTGCCCCATCTAAGTTGACCTCACTACCTCAAAAGCGAGACAAATCTTGCAAGGCTGTACCTCCACATCTCGCACCTCCGATGCCAGACCCGATGCCGCCCCAAGACCCTTTCGAGGTGATGCCAACTCAACAACACCAAGCCCCCATGACATAGATTTTTGGTCAGTCAGACTACCCTTCATCTCCAGGCTCTCCTGCATCTTCGGAGGCACAACACTCTCAGTCCTCCTATGAATCCAAGCTACCTCCCCTGCTTCCAGATACAAGGGATAGCTATGCTTCGTCTACTTTGGACAACTTCTCCTACTCTACCCTTATCTTCTAACTGGCACAAGCTCTGCACCTCGATACCGAACAGCCCCCGTCTACTGATGCCGACCCAGTGTTCGACGACATCAATCAGGAGCGTCCCACTCCTTTGAGTCTTCCTTTCAATAAGTCTATCCTTCAACTTATTAAAGACACTTGGGGAAAACCCCCTTCCACTATGCAAATCTCTCGCCGTGCCGATGGTCTCTATAGGACCCATGGTGTCAATGCCGAATTCCTCAATAAGCATCCAGTGCCTACCTCCATCATAGTTGAGTCCAGTCAAGCTCGAACCCATGCCAGGCATGGTTTCTGTCCGTGTTCAACCCATTGACAGACCTCCCATCCTCACTACTGTCGGTAACACCGGAGCTAGCCTCCCAACTCGACTGGTGGACTTGCCCAGACAATCTCCTCATCGGCAGACCTTTCTCCCCCCTGCGACCTTCCATACAGGTCACAACCGACGCCAGCCCAACAGGATGGGGTGCCCACTGCCTTCAGCACACAGTCCACGGGCTCTGGTCAACACAAGAACTGCCACTTCACATAAACCATCTGGAACTGTTGGCAATCATCAAGGCGTTCCATGCCTTTCTTCCCCTGATCCAAGGATAGGTAGTGCAGTTGGCAACAGACAACACTACTGCACTCTTCTATGTCAACAAGCAAGGAGGCACCCACTCCCCTTCTCTGCTCTACCTAGCTGTCAACTTCTGGGAGTGGTGCTATTCCAACCATGTTTTCCCTATTGCTGTCCACATTTCCACCAACGACAACACCTTGGCCGATCGGCTCAGTCGGCTTCCGACGAGAACTCACAAATGGACCCTGAACGATGTCATATTCCAGAGACTATGCTGACGATGGGGCACGCCTTCAATAGACCTCTTTGCATCCAATGCCAACAAGAAATGTGCCCGATTTTGCTCCAGAGCAGGAGACGCATTCCTGATGGACTGGTCTCACGATCTTCTCTACGTATTTATTTATTTATTTTATTTATTTTATTTTATTTCCCCCTCTGCCTCTCATCCAAAGGGTAATCGTCTGTCTCCGGCAAGACGGCGCCAACGCGATCCTGATAGCCCCGTACTGGCCCCGGAGACAATACCCATATGTGTGAATTCACAGAGGACCACTCAAAGAACTATGGTTACAGGTAAGTAACCTCTTTTTATTACTGACTGACTGACTGACTGACTGACTGACTGACTGACTGACTGACTGACTGACTGACTGACTGACTGACTGACTGACTGACTGACTGACTGACTGACTGACTGACTGACTGACTGACTGACTGACTGACTGACTGACTGACTGACTGACTGACTGACTGACTGACTGACTGACTGACTGACTGACTGACTGACTGACTGACTGACTGACTGACTGACTGACTGACTGACTGACTGACTGACTGACTGACTGACTGACTGACTGACTGACTGACTGACTGACTGACTGACTGACTGACTGACTGACTGACTGACTGACTGACTGACTGACTGACTGACTGACTGACTGACTGACTGACTGACTGACTGACTGACTGACTGACTGACTGACTGACTGACTGACTGACTGACTGACTGACTGACTGACTGACTGACTGACTGACTGACTGACTGACTGACTGACTGACTGACTGACTGACTGACTGACTTACTTACTTACTTACTTACTTACTTACTTACTTACTAAGATTAGGGATTACATTTATTGCAAAACAATTTATTTACTGAAAAACATACACATACATGTATTGACATAAAATTAAAATGTCTCAATTTTTAGTGGCTGATTTGTTGCTTATTTGTAATAATATTTTAAAAGCAGGGTTCCTTTTTTGAAAGAGCTACGTGTATGTCATCACTTGCCTTTAAGCCATTTCTGATTTTTGTTTTTGTATGAAAATCCCATTTCACACAGATAGAAAGTAGCAAATGGTAGAAGTGCCTGCAATGTTGCCTTTGCCAGTTGTGGAAATGGTTCTAAATAAGCAAACCCGAATTGTTCTAAGTCCAGTTTTTCAAATTCCTTTTGAATACGTGCATTGGCCCATATTTCAGTAAGATAGTATTTTATTAAATTACCGTCGTCTATAGAATTAAGGTAAAAAAGAAATGGATCCAGTATCTGCCTCTGCTCTTTGCCAATATCTTCTGTGGAAAAATATCCATGAAAAAATGAATTAAATTGTTGCAAATGTACTACAAGTTCAGGTAAAATTATGATTTTTTCATTTTCCAGAATGATTTCATCAAGCAAGGGAAAGTTTGCAAAATTACCATTTTCAACTCAACGTATCCAAATTTTTAGTTTTTCAATAAAAGCAGATAATTTTTCAGTAGCCGTTATTATGTTCTTACCATATCCTTGCTTTGATAAATTTAATTCATACATGCAATGTGTTATTGTAACTTGTGGTACTTCTTTCTTCATATACACAAAAATTTGGAATTTTTGCCTAATATCAAAGGGGCAGCATCAGTACAAACTGAGCCTATTACATCCATTGGTATACTGTATGATGTTTCAAAAGAAAGTCTTTAATGAGATTCAAAACATCATTTCCTTTTGCCGTCAACTCCAGTTGCTGACAACATAAAAATTCTTCCAAAATTTCCTTTTCCTTTATATTTTGCACAAATACTAATAGCTTACTGCAATTATCAACATCAGTTGACTTGTCTTATTTAATACTCACTTTCAGAGGACTAGCTTTAATATCTTGTACTACTTGCAGTAAAATATCCTGACAGATATCTTGAATCAGCAGTCAAATTGCATCATTAGAGAGTGGAATCTTCTAAATTTTCTTATGTGTTTCAGAACCTAATACAGTTTTCACAGTTTCCAATGTGCATGGTTTTACCAATTCCTTAATTATTTATGAAGATTCCCCCCAGCTCACAGATATGCCACCTGATAAGAAGCTTCTAACAAAGGCTTCTGAACTGTTACAAAGTCAAATTTTATGATAGTACAGTGGTGCCTCGACTTATGAACTTAATCCGTCCCAGAAGATGTTCATAAGTTGAAATGTTCTTAAGTCGAATCAGCATTTCCCATTGAAATGCATTGAAACCTGATTAATCCGTTCTGGCTGTTTTTTGTTTGTATGTAGAAGCGCTGGTTGTAAGTCAAAGCATTCGTTCCCATATGAACGAATGTAAAACCAGTTAGTCCATCCTCTACCACTACGGGGAGAATTATTGTTAACCTAAGATGACTTAGGTTAAAAAAAGAGCAGGAAAGAAGGGAGAGAAGGAACAATGGGGAAAAGAGGAAAGAAAGAAGGTCATCACTGGGACACACAGACCCCTCAGACAAAGATTTGTGCTTTTAAGCACAAAAAGAGAGAAGACAGAGAGAGAGAGGACAATTGGGGTGGGGGAGAGTTTGGAGTCGAAAACACATTTTAAACCCACACATGCTAAACCCACACATTTTACACCAACACATTTTAAACCAAACACCTTTTAAACCAAACCAAGCACCTTTTAAATAAAACACATGTTAAACCAAACCAAGCACCTGGGGAGCATAGAGAGAAGACAACGCGGGGGGGGGGCGACTTGAGTCTAAACATTTTAGAGCACAACAGCCAGCACAGACACTTGCAAAAAATTTCTGATTTTAAAACCAAAAGACTAAAATCCATTTTAAAGCACACCAGTCAGCACATACCCTTGCAAAAAAATTTCTGATTTTAAAACCAAGCTTAGAAAAATTATGGGATTTTTGGACTACAACTTGACGAATGCTAAGCTAACATGACAGTGGCCATGTTGGCTAGGAGACTAAGGGAACTGTAGTCCTAAAAGGTAACTTTTCCAAGCTGTGCATGTATATAGTCGTGCCCTTCTATCTTAAAAATATCTGTAATGTTTTTGACAAAATATTGCTGCTGTTTGACCATTGACCCTCATTTTTATTTCCTATCAGATGCTTTGAAGTCTGAGACTATCAGAAAGTGTCTGGACTTTTCATAGTACAGATCATCCTATACCAGCACTGGGGTCCTCCGTTTCTTTCGGATTGCCACTCTCATCCTTACCCTCCAGCATGGAGGATACCACAGCTGAGAAAGACTAATGTAGACTGTTTCTAATCCCTCCCAATTTCAAATGAAACATAGAGAAGAAACTTTATAGGATGGATACCCAAGAATACAATGCTCTATTGGCTACTTTTTCAAAAAGCCTTCCTCATAATACATACATTTTAAGCTATTCAGCCATCGTCTTACTGTGTCTTAACATCAAGGTGGAATATAGGCACAATAGAAGTGCATGGTAAATATCTCTTTTATTGTCAGTATAGCTTTGGAAAATAGCACTTTTTGAAAATTGCTTTTTATATAATAGAAGAAAGAAGGAAAGTTCTTCAAATGTTAGTGATTTTTTACTAGTATTGTAAATTCAGTTAGCACAATACCTTCTATTTCTTTTTGTTAGCAATGATTAGAGCTTACCAGCAGAAATTGAGTGACATGGAGAGAAGCTATCATGTTGCTAAGAAGCAATGGGATGAGAGAGAACAAAGACTTATAAATGATGTATCAGAACAGGAACTAATTATTAATACTTGTAAAAGTGAATACGAGTCCCTTTTGAAGGAGAGGACTAAGCTGGACCACATGTTGAAGGTATGACTTTATTCACATTGTAGTTGCTAGAAAAATATGGAATGATATCTCTTCTTCCATCTTTATCTTATTGTTATTGCTGTGGTCATTATTACTTTTAATCTATTCTTCCCTGAGAAAGATTCCCAGAGATTGTGAAAGGATTGGTAAAACTGCCCCTCCCATCAAGCGTAATGTCTAAAAGCAATGGCACAAAAAGACAGGGGGACTGCAAGGGAAGAGAGAGAGAAACCTCAATGTGGGAAGTAACTTGACCTTGGAAACTGTTCTGTCTAGTAGGAAGGAGGGAAATAAATTTTCTGCAGCTTCTTTCTTGGCCAAGAGGTGGAGCCAGACTGATTCTTTTCTGGCCTTGTCTTGGGTGGCAAGAGGGACAGACTCCCAGTGCATTGTGGTTCCCTGGCCAGTGGATGAGACCAGAGTATGCTGCTGTTCAGCAATTTCTGTCTTACCTCCCCTTTTGTCCTCACAACTACGAGGCTGAGATAGGTGGGAAAACAGTTCCTGGCTAAAACAGGTGGGTTTCTTAAAATGGACATAACAAAACAATTCAGTATAAGCTTAAATAGCATCCTGAATATTTCTTTTTTTAATTGTGTATGTTAATTCTTTTGCTTCAGATGTTGATTTCATCCCCACCACCACCACTTTATAGTGTGCAACAAATACTGATTTTTAAAATATCTGTAATTCCACTACAGGCTCTACTGAAATGAAGGTCATAAGTCTTAAGGACTGATTCCACAGTTCAAACACCGTTCATCTTTAAGGCACATTCTATAAGCTGCAGTGTGCATCTTTTCTTTCTTTCTTTCTTTTAATATGTTAGCAAAAGGACCAGGCTTTCTATAGGATGGAATAGTGGTAGGTTTGATGAACCAAAGCATCCTGGCAAATTCCACAGCTGCCAGTGTTGGGCACATTGTTTCTTTTCATTTGAGCAAAGACACAGCAGTTGGGACCCTCAACATATTTCCTGCCATGGTGAACTCCTACAGCCCTTGGTGGAGGAGGTAGCCAGGTACAATACAGTAGCTCTAGTCCTCAAGCTCCCCCCCTACACACACACACCTTGCTTCAAACTGTATGAAGAGGACAGTTATGTCCTTGTTAAGGAATACTGCCTTCAAATGTCTGGTGACCTATAACAGACTTCAAACGTTCTGTTGCACTTAAATTAACAATTAAATACGACATGTTAACATGCAACAGCCCATGAGATCACACTTCGAGGGGACCCTAAGTATGCATTACAAGTTTTTTACATGTCTAGAATTTCTTAATTTTGGAGCTGTGGATCTGACAGTCAAGCATGCATTCTCATTTAATTTCCCCATTCTAGTTCTTTGTATCTTGTTACTATTGCTTTTGCAGCTGTTTCCTGGGACAAGATAATCAGACTAGGGCACCTTGCTTTGTGTCTCTGCATGTAATCTTTTGAAGAGTGTAGTGTGGCACCATATCCCTGTGCAAACAAGTACCTCTGCTCTGTAGAAAGTAAAAGGCCATATCGGCTTGGTAGGTAGGTTAGGGTAGTGTTTCTCCTGTATAGGAGTTCTCTGTCTTACATATTGCTGTCTTCCCATAAACAATCAGTAGATCTGCCCTGGAGAAGATGGGTGGAGGTTTTTGGTACAAGCAATGAACCAGTCTGGCCTTATGCAGAACCACAAGAAGTCCTTAAACATTGGTTTGGTTCATATGAGTCCCCCTCCCCTCAAACTGGAGCTTGCTTCCATACCAGGAGCTCAAATTCTGTATCAAACTGGGGGTTCTGATTTATGGGTAACATTGTCATAATTTGGTCTGTTCAGATAGAGTAGATCCATTTTCTCGTTTTTACTAGAAGTAGAATCCCTTTTCATTACCATACTGTGTCAGGGAGCAGGGGGAAGAAAGAGCTCCCACATGTTGTAAATATGTGCTCAATATTTATAGATGTAAGGTAAGGCCTTTCCAGTCACCCATCAGCTAGTAAGTGGCCTTCTCTGTGCCTCCACCAGTACAGCGGGACTGAAATTACTGGAAGCTGCAGATTGATGTTAATTAAAGAGTTCCTGCTTTGATTTTGGAATATGTGTGACTTCATCTCATTGCACATGAGTTACACACAATCCAAGGTGAATTAGGAAAGATCAGCATTCTTCACTAGGTGGCAATCCTGCTGCACTGGCAGAGCTTACAGCTACTTGATGCTCTCTGCGAAGGAAAACAGTCATGCCCAAATTGTTCCTTATTCTTCCTAAACTTATGAACGGTTAATGCTAGAAGCAGCATGCCTGTGTCATGAATTCTGACTGGTCCTTTTAATATCAAGGTTTTTAATGTGACACCAATGATTTTATTTAATTACACTGTGTTCTCATGAAGGAGACTTTGGAACAGCAGAAGGAGCAGAAGAGCTTGATAGAGTCAGAGATCAGGGAAGAGGCAGCAGAGGAATTTAGGTGTCAGGCAGAGCAATGGAAAGCAGAAAGAAATGAACTCCAGTTTCTGTTGCAGGTATTCTTTGTTACATTAAGCAGTATAACTGCTAGCTAAAACTAAACGTCTGTATTTAACAGTTACGCATCAAATTCTGTGAAGACTGCAGCTGTTCTTAAAGTGAGACTTAGTTTTTGAAGAAACATTTAAAACACTTACTGTAATGAGTGTGACATTTACCACGTGGCCCCTGCTTGCTACCCCACAAACAAAGGACTCACGCTATGTCATCCCACCTGCAGATAACAATTGAGATGTTCTCTCTTTTCCTCACTGCCACCAGTGGATTTCCTTTATCCACAATATAAAGAACTTTAGTCAGACATTTGTCTGGTTACTGTCAACAGAACAGTATTAAATTTAACCAGAATAACAGATGTTCTTTATTCAATGCATACAACAATCAAATCATTAAAATGTCATATATCTTGCCACATAACCAATCACCACCTGCTCTATTAACCTTGACCAGCTTATCTCTATTAGGATCTGTTCTCACAATCTCCCTGACTATCTCTCTCTCTGTATCTCCCTCATCTCCTCTGCCAAAACCTTCTTATACCCACTGACTCCACCCCTCCACTCCTCTCATAGGCTCATGCAAATGAGATCTTGAATATCAGTGACAGGAATGACGTGGGGCAATCATCACAATGAGAAATCTAAACTAAAAACTCATGTCAGATAGCCAGAATGTGGTAATCCATCATGGTTGCTATCTCCCCCCTCACCTTTTAAAAAGACCAGCTATCTTTTTTGGGGGAGGTTTGTAGAAATCAGTCTATATATTCCCTTGGCTCCATGTTTTTATTAAAATACTCTTCATATCTACATGCCTACTGGGCTAGTGAAGGTTTTTATTTGGTATTTGTCTTGGTCTTTTAAAATGATGCAAATGTGAATGTTGTTGGTAGTTAAGTTTATCTGCATGTTTAAAAGTACACAAATGTGGACTGAGAACCTCTAATTTTATGTGCTTATGACTATTTTGAAAATGCTTGCTTTTTATCTTATACAATCAGATGGAAAACTTCAGACTGAAACTGAGTCTTCTAATCTCTTTTTATGAAACGTTGTCAGCAACAGTGACAGAAAATCTTTGGACTGCGGGCATGGATTTATTGTCTGTGACAGACAGGAGTGCAAACTTCAGCTTTTGAGGGGTTCTCTCTAGGAAAAAGGAGAATTCATCCACCATATTTTTCAGGCAGATACAATAATGAAAGTTTGTCCCTAGGGTTCTTCTGTCTTAGTGTTTCCTTGCTTAGAGAAGACTGGATGTTCTGTAAGAAATACAACAGCATCATCTTGTGGCTGACAACACAGTAATGCATAGTAGACTTTAAAGTTTATTTTAACAGCTGTGTTTGCAGTTCATTTAAGCACACAGGAGTGGAAGCAGTGGTGTTTAAGTTTCATTGATGTTTCAAGAATAAAATGGTTAAATCCACCAACTTGTGCATAGCTGGACTGAACAGTAGAAAAACAACTGTATCTTTAAAATGTTAAGCCTTCCCAGATGAAAAATTGCTATTCTAGCGTTTTATTCAAGTAATAACTGTATTCAGACAATTGTTTCTTGGCTCATCTTCATGCTGTCTTATGTGAACAAGAAATAACACCTTTTTTAAAGTGAGTTTTCTAGTTTGACTGAACTTAGAAACTAGTTAATAATTTTGAATAGAGATGGGCACAAACCACCAGTTTGGTAATTCAGTGTGGGTTTCTTCATCAGCTGCACAGCTGATCTGTGACTTAATGCCCTGCGCCTTCCGGTGATTGCCCACTCAGAAACAGCACCCAGGGAAGGAAGGGGAGGGAAGTTAGGCCAGTAAACAAATTGTGCCAAATCTCCGATTTGTGCCCATCTCTACTTTTGAAATAAGTTGTGAATACCTGTAGTTGCACAAGTAAGTTTCCCCTTCTTCTGTCCTTCTGAATTTGCTTGAGATAGTCAAGAAACCCTCTAGAACAGCGGTCCCCAACTTTTTTGGGACCACGGACTGGTTGGGGGCTGTGGGTGTGTTCCGCTCACAGGTGGGTGTGTCACGCTCATTGGGTGGGTGGGTCACATGGAGGGGTGCGAGCACAACATGCTCCTCTGCAAGCGCGATACTCCCACCGTGCAGGTGGGGGGGGTGGAGATCCATGTCCGCGGCCAAGTTCAAGGAAGCCCACGGACCGGCACCAGGCCGCAGACCAGGGGTTGAGGACCCCTGCTCTAGAATAGATTTTTAGGTTTCAAGGAGGGGTAGACAGGAAAAGGGTAATCTGTTCTGCCAGTGAAATCTGTTCCACTGGATGGAATGGAAGGACATGATTAGATCTAGTCCATCATGCTAGAAACATTTAAGCCAGATCTGGAAGGATTCCAAAATACCATGTAGTCCAGCCCCATTACCAGAAATCCATAGCATCCTTAACTCATAGCCATCCAACCTCTGCTTACTTTAGACACCTCCAGCAAAGGAGAGTCCACCAGCTTCCAAAGTAATTGGTTTCACTGTTAAAAGCTCTTATTGTCAGAAAGTTCTGAATGTTTGGTTAAAATCATCTTTCTTATAACTTGAGTCAAAAAAACATGCTTGGTGTTGTGTAAGAGGAAACAGGAGTCTCTGAGAGGGAGAGCGAGATTTTAAACCAAACAATGTCAAATCATGCAGTTTGTGGCCTGTCCATTTGAGATAAGATAGGACATTAAAACTCTCTATAGGCTTGAACTTAGAAAAGAAAAAAGGGAAGAGAACCTCTGCCAAATCAATTAAACCTGACAATAAGAAGGGAAGAAGCTTTGCTTCATTAAAGTAAAGGCAGTAAAACTCAGGGTAAGAGAAGGAAAATGAAATGAAATAGAATTGAGAATCAGTTGGCTGGCCGCCTACCGCAAAGTCCTGGAGACGTGTGTTTACCAGAGGTCTCCTCCAGCACTTGAGAATGACCTCTTTCCACCTGGGGGTGAAACGGTTCGTCAGTCCCTCTGACACGCTCCTCCACAAGCGTGAGACGCCCACCTGCAGGCGTAACACACACACCCATGAGCGCGGTGGGTGTCCCCGCACCCCAACCGGTCCATGCACAAAGCCCGCACCCACCCCAACCAGTTTGCGGTCCAAAAAACGTTGGGGACCACTGATCTAGAACAGTGGTTCTTAAACTTTGTTACTCAGGTTGTTTTTGAACAGCAACTCCCAGAAACCCCAGCCAGCAGAGCTGATGGTGAAGGCTTCTGGGAGTTGCAGTCCAAAAACATCTGAGTAACAAAGGTTAAGAACCAGTGATCTAGAAGATGTATCTTAGTGATTGGCAAAACATACCCAACATCTTGTTGCTTAGTGTAATAAATCACTCTAGAGTGGGTCAATTGAATTAATGGAGATTCAGTGAGTCAACTCCTCCCTAAGTTCCATTGATTCGAACAGGCCTACTCTAGTTGCAACTGACTGCTAAAGTAAATCTCTGTCAGAGTAGAGCTGTTTGAATCAATGGAATTTAGGGAGGAGTTGACTCACCAAATCCCCATTTATTCAACAGTCTACTTTAGTTAAATTTATTATATTAAGCAACAGGATTTTGGCCTATGAATGATGAATCATTTCATCCTGATTTGCAATTTACTTGTATCAAAGTTTGATATCACAAATATTGGGAGAAGGAAACTACAGTGGGGTCTTGACTTAAGAACTTAATCCGTATTGGAAGGCGATTCTCAAGTCAAAAAGTCTGTAAGTCAAGTCTCCATTGACCTACAGTGCATTGAAAACCGATTAATCCCGTAACAGGCCGTTTTTGTTCCATTTTGGTTTTTTTCTGGTCTGTAAGTCAAATCTCAGTCTGCAAGTCAAACCTAAATTTTGCGGCCAGAGAAGTCTGTAACTCAAAAAGTCTGTAAGTCAAGCCGTCTGTAAGTCAAGGGTCCACTGTATGTGGCTGGTATATATTAAAAGAATATAAAGAGAGAGTAAGATAGCCATTATGGTGTAGTGGTTAGAAAGAGGGACTGGGATTGGAGAGACCCACATTCAAATCTCCACCTAGCCATGAAATTCACTGAATAGCCTTGAGCCAATTGCATTGTTTTAGTATAACTCATCTTCATTAGTTATTGCTTTTTTGAAGATAAAATTGGTGTATGTGTGTGTGAGAGAGAGAAAGAAAGAGAGAGAGAAGTAAAAAGAAGTGAAATAAATTTGAGTGTAGCTTTTTACAGATCTGTAAAGAAAAGTGGGATATAAATGTAATAACTACATAAGGCATCACTATGCAGTGAAGAGAGGAGTCTTCAAGCTGTGTACTCAGAAATTGGTGTAAATTTGTTGAAGTTATGAACATGGGGCCATTTCAAATGACTTTCATTGAGACCCTGGGCTTCAAGAGTAAATTGTCATTTGCTGTTATGGAAAGCAACGATGTACTCACCTCAGTCCAAAACAGTTTTTTAAAGAAGTCATATTGGGCCATACTTAACAATTGCTGTGATCAGAGTTACTGCTTAAAGCGAATAGCATGGAAATATGGAACTGATCTGGTGATTACGGAAATTGGCCTAAATTCTCTTGCCATCTGAAGCAAGAAGTGAACTGCCTCTCTCCACTGTGCCCGTACTTCATATTGTTCTGCTATGCCTTCATTGCCATAGATCTGGAAGGAGCAGTGAAAGACTGCGCCCTCTTGAACCTATACAGCTTCAGCTTTAAAGACTACACCTTTAAAGCCTGCTTTTGCAGGGTCTTGACTGCCAGGTATTGGGGGCGTGGTGATCTGGGAGGCCCGAGCCAGTTATTTTGGAAACTGCCAGTTCTGAAGAGTTGAACAGAGCAGCAGCAGTGCTGCCAAGTGGGAGGAGCCTGTGCAGGGTAGAAGAAAGTAGCCAGTTGATTATCTGCTACTTTGAGGCAACCACTTTGTTTAATTGTGGGGCTGGCCTTGACCTCAGCCTCTGCTGTTTGAGGGCTCTGAGGGCAGGTTCCTTTCTCAACCCTTGCCTCTAAAAGTCATTTTTGCTGGAGCTTTCTGCCAGCAACTCAAGCTGAGGTGGTAACTCTTTTCTTTTCCATCAGGAGAGTGACAGTGCAATGCAGAATGTTCAGAAGAAAATCCAAAACCTGGAAATGGAACACAGTAACTGTTCAGAAGCTCTGAGACGGCAGATCAGTGACCTTGAATTCAGTGCAAAACGAGAGGCTCAGCTTAAAAAAGAACTTGAGGTCAGTGCTCCTCCCTTGTCAGCTGCTTGTATAAACATATCCTTTGTATTACTGTGTTTGGGTTTTATCGCAAGGGTAGCTGTTAATGACTAGTACAAATGGTCAGGTTTGCGTGAGTAAAGTATGCAGCTAAGGAGAGTTAATTTTCACCACAGTGATTGGTGAGTTTTGAAATCATTTTTCCAAGCCTACCAGTTATAGAACTTTAGTGGTAAATACAATATTCCTTCAAGTCAGTAGTTCCCAACCTTTGGTCCCCAGATGTTATTGGACCAAAACTTCCAGATGTCCTCACAGCTAGCTGTGCTAGCCAGGATTTCTGGGAGTTGTAGTCCAAGAACATTTGGGGATACAGATTGGGGACCATTGCATTAAATGATGGATGTCAGATAAAGCTGGCTTTTAGAAAGTTTTTTTCTCTTGTTGCTAGTCCTCATTGTTATATATACTTTCCCTACCCACATATGTATCTAGCAATCACACAAACCATGATCCATTCATCAGGATGGGGAGTCAGCAAGAGCACTGTGTTGGGGAGATGGTTGTAGTTCTAGTTTTGTCAGCATTTGATGAGAGAAGTGGATTTCACTTATTAACCAGGATTTACAACTACTTATGCCACTAACTTTCTAAGCGACACAAATGGGGGGAAAGAGGTACGCACTCTAAGGACAACTGAGTGTGGTGCACAGAATGTGATAGCTTTTTCAAAGTTAAGAACTGGGCCCAGTTCCGATGTGGTGTTGGTGTTGTCATTGCTACTGGAAACTGTAAAACAGAGAGCAGTGTGGTTCAGCCTCCTTACACAGAATGACCCCATGCCGATGTCATAGGTTCCCATGACTGGAGAGCGCTAACATAGGGTAGTGTTGGATATAGGAGCATCTGTCAGGTTATCTCTAGATATTAGATTCACAGGTTATAAATGTGACGCTACTGGCACAGAGCCCACCCATACAGAAATGACTTGGGACAGCTTCTTGTGTGTCAGATTCATGTTGGCGTTAATTACTTTCTTTACATTTTATGAATACTTCATTGAAATGATTTTGCTTCTAATTTTACATTCAGCAAGAAGGGAGATAAGAGGTGAGGTGGGCAAAACTCATAAAATGTGTTGCTCTGATGCCTGGTGCTTCACATATTAACAAGCAAAATTGTTGACCATTTTGATTTCCCTCCATTATAAATGTTTCCTTGTTTCTAGCTTATAGCAAGAAGCAGAATCAATGAAGCTTTTCCTCAGTTTTTCTATCTAAGCTGCTGTAAGCTCTTCATGAAACTGCCAATTGGATGGTAGATGATCAGGAGT